CTCCAGATGTTCTTAGACTACAACTCCCAGAAGCCTTCACCACCACCTCTGCTGGCCAGGATTTCTGGGTGTTGAAGTCCAAGAACATCTGGAAGCCCAAGGTTGGGGACCACTGCGTTATAAGATGCAACTCCCAAAGGCCTCAATGCTACCAGGCCTATTGGGCAGAACAGAAGGGGATCCTTTTTGTTTGGGGTGGAAATCAGGAGGTGCAGTTAGAACTTATGCCATCTCCTCCAAGACCTGGACAATCCTAGTTCCATTCAGTTAAGTTTTACATTTCTTTGAAATCTGAATTTAAAGTCAGATGTTGCTCTGATTTTAAAGGAGATTTTAATGATTATTAGTGAAGATATGTGTGGAGCTGTTTTTCAGATTCAAGAGGCTGAACTGCACACATTGCACAGTTGTAGTTTTGGAAGACCAGGAGGTGGGGCAGGGATTCCTGCAGCCCGGCCTTTGAGTGGCCAGCTGCTGGAGGAGGCAGAGAAGGGAAAGCTGGGCTGCTGCCCATACTGGAAGATTGTGTGATGGCGAAGAATGGAGCCATGTGCACCAGCAATTCAGTGGGTGATCTGGGGTGGTGGTGGAAGGAATGCACAGCAGCTGTGCTGCCATGCAGATGACTTATGATGAAGGGGCATAAAGCATTTCATTAATCAAACCTTCCGCCCTGGGCTCAGTGTTCCAACCCACCAAAGCTGTCCAGATTGCTGTTCTAGAAATCTGTCAGAGAAATAAAGGTACTGGTAATCTGTTTTGGTCAAATTTCACCCACCTTCCACATGGAGGGAAAACTAATTTTTTCATCAGATGGTGCTTCAGATCTTTAGCTGGCTATCTCTACAAACTCACTGGGTTTAGAAGAATTTTGTTAATGAAGCATCTGCCTTTCATGCAAGCCAGAAGCCAATAACTCCTGGTCTTCCGCAGTTATTAGCAAAATATTCCAGGAGAAAAAGTCACGTTGAAAAGGGCTGCTGTTCTGAGAAAACAATAATACTAATAATAATCAATTCTTGTAGAAAAATATTTTAATAAAAGGCATTAACTTTCAAGAAAATATCTGTATAGTAACAACATTTTTAGGCAAAAGTGCACAGAAGTATACATGTCCGGGGTCAATATACATCATTTATTTTGACACAGTTTATTTCACTTTGCTCAGTCTATATAGACATTGATCTGGAAAGAAAACAAAGCCCTCCCACCAGCTATGGAGCTTCCTGAAAGAACTTCCACAAGGATGGGACTGTTCTGCAATGTATTCCAAATTTATACTAAGGAAGGTGCAATTCACTAGAGTGCTCTCCTGGCAAAAGCACCATTTTAGATGGATGATGTTCTACAGTTTCTAATGCAATTTTACCATGGATTGTGCCCCTGCTCAGAATGGCAAGTACTACAAAATGGTATCCTTCCAAAGGTGCCTCTTGGAGAAAAGGATAGTACAATCAAACAAAATTATCAATGACGAATGTTGAATTTACATACATTTGACATTGGTGTGACCAAGACCACGTATTTGTAAAAGGCAGGATTAATAGGCTAATTAAGGCAAACACTGATGCCATTGAAAACTGAAAAGAGCTGGACTTTGAACAGCTATTCCAAAAAGGAACACAGTTATAATTTTGAATATAGGCATTGAATTAGTTAGCAATATGCTACTAGCAAAGAATCAGGGAAGCCAGATCTGCACAGTTTCCTACAGAAGGAGTTGTCACCCAGTCATAAAGACACAAAAAGAGACAGCTCTGCTTCAGTTCTGATCTGCTGCCTTTCCCGGTAAGGATTCTTGCAAATATAAATGAATCAAGATTAAAAAACAAAAACCGTCCAAATGTTGTGAAATTGCAGCTGCTTAAAAGGTGCTCAGATGGGCTCTTTTCTGCTGCTGGTTACACCACATGCTACAGTTCTCCCTTCAGCAAATGTGTTCTGTCAGGGGGCAGTCAGCTTTGTAGATGTCAGAAATGCCAATGGTGGAAATAAGCCCTGGCACAAAAGCCTAATGCAGGTATGTCCTGTAATGGGGTGGGCAATTTCCAGAGATCCAGAGACCACAGATAGCATTCTTAAACTACAGTTTCCTGTTATATCTGAAATAGAACACTACAATGTAGGAAAATCCAGAAATACTGAATTAAAACGTGGAAGAGAAAAGGAGAAGGGAGTGCATGAGTTTAGTGCCTGTATTTGGTTCAGTTCACCATTACTTAACTGGACCAAAGCTACTGGCTGAAATACAATAGTAAGCTGTGATTAGGCAAGGTCTGTTAAATCAATAGAACAAGTTGACTCACCAAGTCCCTAATGATTCAGTGGGCCTATTCTAGCTGTGGCTATTGGATTTCAGCCAATAGTGGCACCTTACTTTGAGCTACTCAAAATGTATCCCAGTGGAACTGGAACCACACTTAACCTATGGGTGTCATAATCTGAAACAGCAAATAGAAAAACATAGCTACCCTGTTTCCCCGAAAATAAGACAGGGTCTTATATTAATTTTTGCTCCAAAAATGCATTAGGTCTTATTTTCAGGGGGTGTCTTATTTTTTTCATGTACGGCAATCTACATTTATTCAAATACAGCCCTGTCATCTTATTCTGGTTGCTGCAAAATGATGGAGGTTGGGGTTTATTTTGGGGGCAGGGCTTATATTATGAGCATCTTCAAAAAAAACCTTATTAGGGCTTATTTTCAGGTTAGGTCTTATTTTCAGGGAAACAAGGCAGTCAGGAGCATTTACTAGAGACATTTTTTTTTTAAAAAAAAGGATGCACACACACAAATTTTCTAAAACAGTTTTCATTTTATAATCAACTTTGTTTTACATGAACAGAAACACACCAGCATTTTGTGCAAAAAATATTTAAATAAATTTTGCTTGTTCTTTATACATTCTGATATACATATGTAACAAGGTTTATGGCACTATAACCAGAATAAAAAAAGGGAAAAAATAATTGCTTTTGTTGGATTCTTTCTTCTTAATTAAGCCAGCCACTTTTGCATTGTTTTTTAAAAATATTTTTTATTATTATTAATGGGCAGCCAGTTGTAACTGGCCTGAACACTCAAAATAAAGAACTCTCTCCATTCCCAAAAACTGTTATTGCACAAGAAGCCAGTAAAGGCATATGGCATAAAATAGTCAAGTCCCTTGGTGTTAAAATGTTCTGTCCCACCCACTGCCCACCCCTACCAATAGAAAAATAGTACCAGAAGATGAAATATGGCAAATAAAAAGTTTTCTTTAGTCAGGAGTGTGAGAGAGTGATCTGCAGATAGTTTAAGCTGCTCTGACCTTCATTGCACCAGCAAGCATTTTGCTTACGTTTTCTTTAGCAAAGCCTTTGCAAACTCAAGGCCCGTGGATTTAGTTGTCTTTTTGCTTTTGTTTTGGCTGGTTGTGTTTTATTTTTTAAAAACATAGCTGTCCTCGGTCTATGAACCTGCACAGACTACTTAGTCATAATCTCTACAAGTAGCTGAATCACCAAAAAAAAAAAAAAAGAATATATATATTCTTTTTGGTCATTCAGCTACTTGTACTGTAGCTGAATCACCAAAAAGTGATATATATACATATATATAGTCCAGTTTCTTTCTCTCACACACGTAGATTAAAAAAAAATCAGTGTCTTCTTTAAACATCTCTCCTTCATCCATTTTTTGAGGTGAATTGGACTTGCAATGGCATTCACCTCAATATTTGTGAAGTCCTTGCATTTGTAGAGCCTTTTCTTCAAACACCTTTTTTTGTCCAGTCTGTATTAAAAATAAACCCTCCCCAAATAAAACTAAAAAGAAAAGAAAAAACACCCAAGCCTCCTGAAGTCCAGGTCAAGTGAAGAAGATGATCATCTGACGCTGATGCTTCTTTACTGTCACACAACAGTCTCGACCCCAATGAGCTTTGGCGTAAGGATGCGGGGTGTGACTCCATTGTTCAGATCTTCTTCAAACTCCAATAATTGCCCCATAAAATTAAGATTAGGAGAAATGATTGGCCGCTTGCCTTTGACAAATTTATAGGCATCAGTCATGGTCATCCGCGTGTGCTTCATAAGGTAAGCAATGACAATGGTGGCAGAACGTGACACACCAGCCTGGCAGTGGATAAGGAGACCTTTCCCACACTGGTGAGCTTCCTCTGAAAAGAAAAGAAACACAGGTAGACTTTCAGTTCAAGGCTCATCACACAATGCAGCATTCCAAGCAGCCCACTGCTCTACTGTAGAGGGATAACAAATTGAAAAAGACTCACATGTAACACTAGGATATGATTTAACACAGGGATAGGCAAGAATGGCCTCCCAGATCATGTGAGATGGTATTTCCCCAACTCATTGCCATTGGCTATGCTGGTTAGGATAAGAGAGGCAACCCAAAAATTTATGGAGGTCTAGCATTTGGGGTTGTCAGTTGAACAGTTTTCTGTTCCTTGAGATGCCAGGGCCAAGATCTCTGAGTTGAGCTCTCGTAACGTAACAGGGAATAGGCCCTTGTATCGCCATTGCCGAATTTTGTGTGTTTGTGTGTGTGCATCCTAAGGAATGAACTATGATTCCATTTCACATTCCCCTAATCTTGGCTGGTCAATATGTTGAAGCCAGTATATATATTTTTTCCTTTCAAAACCTCTGCTTTCCTTGCTTGGCCAGCATAACTCACTGTAGGGGTGGGATGGCCACTTACATGTCAACAAAAGCGACATGCATCACTAAAAAGAAGAGAAGCTCCTCAAATGGACGGCTCTCCTCCTTAAGGAGGACATATGGCTACCCTACTATAAACTCCACATGCACAATTTGCACTTCTGATAAGCATTTCTAAAACTTAGTCTAGCTTGCAGTTCAGAAAATACTCAAGATGATACTCATAGCCCTCTTCCTCTCTACCCTCCAAATTTTCCTTGCTGTGACAAATTTGCATGCAAACCCTTTGCAAAAATGATGCTGACAAAAGAAATACCACTCATGCACTCATGCATTTTATATGTTCCAAACACTGTAGCTGAATGGTTAATGTGCAAAAGCAGCAACCTATTCCACAGACATTTTTATAGCAGGTTATTTTGCATGCTACCTGGACAACTTCCAAGTGTTAGTAGAAGATGTGAGGACTGTCCATACTAACCACACTAGTGATTCCACTGGAGAATATGCATGCACTCTGACTAGGAAGAGTATGGAATTATCTGTTTCTGCTAACAATATCATTTGCAGGCTATGCATTTTTGATCAGGTAATATGCCACTCACATGACTATGACATTCTCTTTTGTGCTTCAGCAATATGATACAGAATCATTGTGCAAAGAGGGAATAATATTAATGCAGACCCAAGAAAGTATGAATATTGTGTATATAAAATTAGTGGCATCTGCCACAAAATATTGCAGTGTGGATCCTTTATGGCACGGGTGTGCATATACAATGTATGAGTCCACACACATAAATGCATATGCATGAGTACTGTATGAAAGCAGATGGCAAGAAAAGAAGAAAAAAATATGATAGATGAGCCTTAAGGATGTTAAAATTAAGATTAGCTGAATGATATGAGATGACAGAGATGTGATTTGTCCTACATGCCAAAGGCACAAGTGACATTGCTATTAATAGCTCTTCTGCTGTGGGGAAAAAAGAAGAAATTGACACACTTTCTAAGATCAGATTGGACTACAACTCCCTTCATTCCTCATGACTGGTTAAGGCTGATGGGAGTTGCAGTCCAGCACCATCCAGAAGACCACAAATTGCCCAGCATTCTGATCATACGTGTGTACAACAGCATGGAAGCCAGAAAGAATCCACAATTGTAATTCTGACCACATTTTTCAAAGATGTGATGATGGTTTTAATTCACATCATCTACCCATCCCATATTGGGGGGGGGGGGAGAAGGAAAACTATTCAAAATCTGTTTAAAGCATCCATGATAATTTCTCATCTAATTTAAGTTGGCCCATGGGCAAAGTGAAGCACTATTTTAGAAAAACAATATTTGTCTTACTAAAAAGTCAAGGCTATGAAATATTTGTTTATCAAATAGACAAAGCTTTAGGCTACAGTTGGCAAAATGAAACAAGAGGGATGGCTGTTGACTTGGCGGGGAGGGGGGGAAATACTTCTCTGTACTGTACTTCCTAGTATATTATATAGTCTCTGAAGTCTATGAAGCACTGACCGAAAGTAGTTTGAGATCTTGCACCCCATTCCATTGTCCTTGCATTCAAACCAATCCTGCAGCCAACTTAGGGGCACAATCTCATCTATCAAGATTATGCAAGATCGGCCCCAGACTTGTATTTGTCAATGTGTAACAGAAAGTAGACAATTAGTGTGTTGTGTTGAATAGAGTGTTGGGCTAGGCCTCTGGAGACATGGATTAAAAAATCCCCACTTGGCCGTGGAAGTTCCCCTGAGGGTGGCAATGGTTAACCATCCCTTGAACATCTCACATACATCAAACAGCCTGTCAGGGATACTATAATTTGGGAGTAACTAGATGACACACAACCAACATACAAGCATATCTAACTATAAGTGACCAGTGGTAGCACCAGAGGCAAATAATGATCTATTCAAAGGCCTAGATCCAAAAAAGTAAGTAGCACTAGCCTGGCCCCTTACACAAAGAGACCCAGTTCCACAACAATCAGCTCAGAATCAAATGTATACAAAATTATGGAAGCAGCGATTACAGCAATTTGCTAGGAAGGAAAGGATAGCAGACTGAGATAGTTACCGATGAATTCAAAAGCCTCTTCGAAATACTGCCTGAGATTCTGCTTGTTGCTGTCGGTAGCTGGGAGCCGCTTGTAGTTGAACAAACCCTTCTCATAATGATAGAGGGGGAGGTGGGTGGTGACGTTGATGATGTAGCCAATGTTCAGCCGCTGCATCTTCTCCAAGTCCTGAGCATCATGCTCGTTGCCGAGGAACAAGAAGGGCAAGATGGGGGTGAGCTCGGCATTCTCAATGTCTGGAGTGGTCGGGACGGATTGAGGTAGCGTACAGGTCACCGCGGCAGCAACACTCCCACCTCCACCACCACTGTCGGGGCACTCTTGAAGCTGGAGGGAGTTATCACAGAGGTTCTCATGGTTCTGTTTGAAACCGCTGAGTCCACCTGAAATGGAGAGTGACTTCTAAACATGGGCTTTCAGGTTGAAACAAGAGTGACACAGAGCTTGCGTACAGACTTTAAGTATGCCTATACTACACTTTTTAATACCATATAAAACAGGCTTGTCCAATCCACGGCCCGAGGGCCGTATGCGGCCCAGGTCAGCTCGTAATGCGGCCCAGTGCAATTTTTTATTTTTAAAGAAATTCCAAAGTTTCAAGTTACACTGCCGGCGCTTGTGGCCGGAATGTGGCCGGGGCATGTCACAACAGTAGAGGGGGAGAGAGGGAAGGAAGGAAGGAGTGGGAGGGGAGGGAACAAGGGGGCTGCGTGACTGCATTGTGCCATCCCTGTCAATAGGTGGCCCCCCTCCCGGCCCCATGAAGCCGCCGGAGTTGAAGCTGGCAGCCTCTGCTGTCTGAGATCGCAGCTGCCAGTAAGCGTGCTTAGAGTGGGGCTGCGGAGGATGGCTAGGGCTGCCCCCCCATGCGGCCCAAACTAAATGTATGTGTGGCCCAAACCTAATTTTCATCTTCTGATGTGGCCCAGGGAAGGTGAAAGTTTGGACACCCCTGATATAAAAAGTCATGGTTCTGTCCCATGGAATCCTGGGATTTGTAGTTTCATGGGAGGCCTGGAGTTGTCCAGGAAGGTAACTTCACTAATTGCTTGGTAATATTGTCTGGTAAGAGAGCCTTAGCGGTGAAGTTCACTAGAGATCTCTAACAGATAATTCTAAGTACCTCAGCCAACTACAAATCCTAAAATTCTGTAGGGTTTTCTCATTTTATTTTCATCCCACCTCTCTCCCAGTACTAGATGCAAGGTGAATTACAACGTGAATTAGAAACAAAAACAGTTAAAAAGCACAATAAATCATAAATTTTTAATAAAGAATTAAATAAGTCAGCATATCAAAAAAAATAAGTACTTCATTGAAATAATTTAAATGGCAGTGAAAGTGATATCAAACTTCTGGAAAGTATGCAATGTAGATACACTCAGGTCTGGGGTTTGCCACACTCCAGACAAGCATATAACTGCACTGTTACCAAGGCTGCAGTTTTCATTTCATGCCAAGGAAGTAACACAGCCTGAAAACAGTAAGGCTGCTCAGGCATGCTGGCATTCACGAACCTCACAGTCTGAGAATATGTTTAATCAGCACTCAATCTCCCAGTTCCACCAGTGGCAGCAAACAAACTGACAAGCTGCAACTGTGCTGCAGGGGGGTAGGTAGCTGCCGCAATGCAGGTACCAACACCAAATGTATAAATCTCAGACACACACCAAACAAACAGCAGTACTATGAGAATCAAAGTCATCCCAAGAGATTTTATCGCCTGAGATGGAGCAGAAAATGACACCTTCTACCCATCCAAACCAAGAGAACATAATACCCAAAGCCAGCCAAGTTATTCCGGCTCCTGAGGCAAACAATGCCACAAGCACTTCTCCCCATTGCTGCTGGTTAAAAATAAAATTATAACAAGTTAAATAACTACAGATTTGCTGCCCTTTCGTGATGTTCCAAAACTGCAACCTGAAGTGGCTGCCTCACTGTGCCTAAAGGTAGAGCTGGCCCTGTTATTCATTTATGTGAACATTTCTACAATGAACCTTTAACAAATTTACTACTTGTCATTTCCCCCTAAAAGCTAAACTCATAGTGGCAATTCTTCCTTTATTTGAGTCACAACTTATAATTAATAAGCCCTATCATAAGTTAATAAGCACTGCCATACAATTAATAAATATATCAGATAATTTTCACCCAGTAACAGGCAACATGGAGAGTTCTGTGTTCAGGGCAACGAACATCAACCCTTAACATGTTAGGGGCACAGAGTACACTGCCATAGGTGCAAAGTTTCCTATTTTTCTCCTCACTCACAAATTACTGTGTCAGTGCAAAAACACAATTTTCTTTCTCTCATCTTATTAAGGGACTTACTAAGCATCTATTATGTGGCAATAAAGCACTTTAGTTACCAACACATAAGAAATTGTTCAGTGATTTTAAAGTGTTTTTGCTTTCTATCATGAACTGTGCCTATATTTTAAAATGTTTCACACTTCACAGACGTGATAATTTCTTTTTTCGATGACAGTATAGGTAGGCAGGAGAACACCTAGCTAGTATCTTCTCATCTTGCATTTTTAAATAAAAAATCAAATTGAAGACAATCCAATTGCTACAACAGAATTTTAATATTTTTCTTCTGAAAAGCAATGAAGTTCTGCATTTGACAAATCTGATTCGTAATGATTATTTAAAGAGAGGCTAGTTACAGAGGGAAGGGTGTCAATGAAAAGCTGCAAGACTTAATTTTCTTTCCCTAACATGTTACAGGATTTTCCAGTCTGTTTCCTAATGAATTGTTGCACACAAAATCTGAAGAGAAAAACAGAAGCTGAAAAACTTTCTACACCTCAGTCCGGGATGACATCAGTGGAGCCTCCCCACCTGCCCAGTTTCCATGGTATTTACACAAAGCCACACAATGACATCAGCTCGGCATGACATCAGCTCTTTGAGCGCAAACAATGCAAGAAGAGCGACTTTGTCTGAGGGCTTTTGGTACAACTGCGTTCTTGGGAGCCAATGATGTAATGCTAACAGGTGGTTGGGCCAGCTTTTGCCGAACAGGGAGGAGGAAAAAGAAAACTTATGTCCCTTCTCTATACATGGGAGATTATAGGTTAAGCTTTTACCAATGGCGTGTAAAATTATGCACTGCTTTGTGCAAACGATACAGAGGAATTTGCAGGGACTAATGCTATGCATTGTAGGAAGCAAGAGAAAAACTTTTTGTTGAAAAGTTGTTTGAAATAAGGCAAGGCACAGAGTGTCAACATCTTACACACAACTCTTCTTATTCTCATCATTTTGTCTATAAGCCTCTCTAATGCCAGAGCGACAAAAAATTTCAGAGATGCCAAACCAAACTCTTCAGGACATAATCTTTTATCGCTCATAAACAGAAATCTCTTGCCTCATTTAAAACCAAGAAAGGCTAATTCTTGTATTTTAAAGAGGTTGAAAGTTGAGTCATGACAACTGGACTTACTTCTTATTAGGTTGAAACGTTTCACTAGTCATCCAAGTAGCAAAACATTTCAACCTAATAAGAAAGAAGTCCAGTTCCCATGACTCAACTTCCAGGTAACCTCACCTGGATGACTGAGAATCTTCACAAATATTTAAATAGGGAGAATCGGTATGGGAGTGAAGGTGAAATGAAAAGTTTGATCATTGTAATTTCGCATTTGTTTGTTGATAGGTTCAAAGACTCAATGTGGAATCTGGTGTATGATTACTAAATAGATGTGTATGACACTTTTGAATTATACTGTATTTTAAAGCAAAGCAAACCGTGCTGCTTATATACCGCCCCATAGCGCTTCAAGCACTCTCTGGGCGGTTTACAAATTAATTATGCAGGCTACACATTGCCTCCCCAGCGAGCTGGGTACTCATTTTACCAACCTCAGAAGGATGGAAAGCTGAGTCAACCTTGAGCTGGCTACCTGGGATTGAACCCCAGGTCGTGAGCACAGTTTTAGCTGCAGTACAGCGGTTTAACCACTGCACCACGAGGCTCTTTATATGTACAGTGGACCCCCGACTTACAGACGGCTCGACTTACAGACTTTTCGAGTTACAGACTTCTCTGGCTGCAAAATTTAGATTCGACTTGCAGCCAGAGAATCGACTTACAGACCAGAAAAAAACCAAAATGGAATAAAAATAGAATAAAAACCACTGGTTATGGGATTAATCGGTTTTCAGTGCATTGTAGGTCAATGGAGATTCAACTTACAGACTTTTCGACTTGCAGCCACCATTCCAAAACGGATTAATTCCTTAAGTAGATGGTCCACTGTAGTTTAAATGTATTTTAGAAAATTCGCCAAATGTATTTTGCTATGGAATTCATTCAGGTCCTTAGAGGCCTTTTTCCCCAGTTGAGGGAGCAATCAGCTGGCTATTTTCACCCAAGGTGGTGAAAGTCTTGTAACAACATTGCACAAGAGCGGGTAACTTCAATAGATTATAACTCTGGCTTTAACTATCAAAAAAATGTTTCCCTTCAAGTTTCAATGCTCCTTTCCAAATAATAAGGTGTGTCCTTTTTTTAAACAGGTTATCCTTCAAGAGTTAAGGTTGTCACTTTTTTCTACCATAGAAGAACCCAATGTCTCTTTAATATTTGCATGGTGGCACAGTTCAGTGAGTACAGCTCTGTAGTGCAGAGGAAAACCACACGAGATGAGTTTTCCTGTTATGCGCACAGATTTTACAAAACAGAGAGTGTCTCCCAAAAAAAGAACAGTTGTCCTAAGTTGAACATCAGCTCTACTTAGTACCACAATGAGGAATTAGAAACTACTAAGACAAGGGGAGATAAAAGCAAAGCCTTCAAAAGCTTTGTAGACACCTGCACTGTTACACTCCTTGAAAGGCTCTTAACACTCCTCTAAGACTTTGTTTCATGTCCAGAGTCCTTCTGAAAAAAAAAATCTGACAATTTTCGGTGTGATTTAAAAAAAAAACCCACCCAGTTTTCTTAAAAGAAAGAATATACAAAAATAATTTTTAAAAGTAAAAATCTACATTCTACAAGACTTTTTTATCCGTCTGTCACCTGACAAACCTATATTTACATACAGTATAATTGTTTTGGGGTGGAGAAGAAGGTAGTGAATAGGAAGTGGTGTGGCTGAGTCAGTTTTATTTATTGCAGAAGTATTTCTGTGTTGGATTATGCATGCAACAGTCAGGATTACAAATTATTACCAATTTCAGATAGTGAAGCTGCGAGTGTTCTCAGAGCAGGTAACAGAAAAAAGTCCACGATGCAGGCATCATTTTTCTAGTCTTTCCTTTTGCTCATTGCTTCTACAAGTCCCCAGTGTGTTTACATTTCCTCTTACCATCTCCAATAATCCTCTGCAAAAACATTATTCTGCCTATTTTCAACGGTTCTTATTCGCTGGGA